TTTTTTTTTTTTTTTTTTGCTAGGTGTGAAGTTACCCGCAGCTACCACGGCAAACCGAATAATTTGCGCAGTTATTAGCCGCAGTCACTGTCACTGCACCTCAAATGGTTTTAACTGCATTTATAGAATCATTGCATTCTTTGACACAGAATTCAAAGTTAAGTCAACATTGCACGGAAACTGAAGCCCGGTAACTGTTGTTGATGGTATGCTTTCTTCAAATTGCCACAAAAAATTAGTAGTGCTAACCCATATGGTGAATTTTTCGTATTTAAATGCTCCTCTTTTTGTTGAACGAAACTGCTAGCTGGAAAATTGCTGCACCACATTTTCCGATCTCTTCTTGCGTCTTCTAAACAGAAAAAAGGAACGGCTGTTTGCTGTTCCTAAAAATCTTCGGACAAACATTCTGAATTAGGGTAAGTTGAAAGACGAAGGAAAAAGACAGTACAACACAAGTTCTTTCTTTTTTTTTCCTTTTCTTCTTACGAAACTAAAACTACTAAGCCAAAGCACTTTCCTACTGTTACACAGACAAACATCCGGATATCGGTGGAAAACATCAAATGAAAACACTTCACGGTCCATCGGCTTTTACACATAACATTAAAACGATAAAGAAAAAAAAGGAGAGAAAATAACAACATTTGTTCCATTCATTCAATAAAAAACTGACAGAAAACACTGCCTATGCATCTTCTTTTAAAAAACAATCACTGATAGCATCAAACTTTTACTGAACCTGATTCGCATCTCTGTTTCGGCAACAAATTATGGCAAAAAAAGTAAAAAATATAAAATAAAAAATAACTTTCTAAACCACCGAAACAGCTTGATAAATTAGCACACAAAATAAAACATACTCACAAATATTATACAGAACACAGAATTTTGTGACAAAATATCAAATACAAATACAAAAATAAAAGACTTACTGAGAGCTATTGCCCCCTACAAATTGTGAAAAAAAGGCATAAATTATTAAATGAAAAAACGGCAAGATCCTACGCAGATATACCATTTAACAGCACCAATTTCCAACTATTTGTCCCTCAGTTTGTTTTTTTTAAATAGTAATTTCAAGTTTTGAAAAGAAATTTTAAAATACATACATAAGTCTAATTTAGACTATCGAAAAACTTCATACGAATAAATTAAATAAATAAATAAACACAAGAAGAATTACGGAAGCGTATAGTTTAATGCAACAATTTAATTACCAGGCATGAAAATGAGAAATTAATGCCATAGGAACCATCTACCTGCTAATTAAATTCATTCATGATAACTTTCCGAATACGCTTTCGATAATCGTAATTTTTGTGCTTACTTCTCCTTCCTTTCCTCTCAACCTTTGCTGCTAGACAATAACCAAATTTTGATTCCCATAGTTCTGTACAAAGATTTCGTCATCGTCATCAATTAATCTGTGACCTCTCCCGATATGTTCATTGTTGCTGTCGTTATAGCTGTGAAACCCAAAATCATTCTTGGTACCGCTTCATTTGAATACACATAAGCGCAGTAAGAGAACGTCACTTATTTGCCATGATCGTTGCTGGAGATGGTAGTATCTTCTAATATATTTGTTGCTGGTGCAGAATTTTCCACCAAAGTTTCCTCGCTTAACGTTCGATTTCCGACAACACTTTCAACTAGTCCCTTGAAAAAGTAAGTAGCTTTTTACCATAAAATCCATTCGGCTATTCAGTGCATCAGTGATAATGCAATATTATTATAGCTTCCACAACGACCAAAATTTTTTCCTGGATGGTTTATAAATGGAGCACCAAAATACGGAAAGAGCGAGTGAAAGAAGTAACAATTCAACAAAAAACTACCCCGCCGTTAATAACCTGACCGAAAAAAAGCACCCCGACTGCATTTCCAACAGAACAAACATCGACCTACCTTATAATGACTAAGTTCTTGCTTAAGTGCTCTTATTTGGTTATGCTGATCTTGAACAACTTGCATCATCGCCTTTAGATGATTCATCAATGGAGCAGCAATACCAGTAAGCTTATAACAAGCCACTGACGGAACATCCGTTTCTACGTTATCTAGCTTCAGAACAGCGCCTCCATTACCTGAGTCATCTGACTTCTTCTTTGCACTCAGTCCTAGTAATAAATACTACAATAACGGTATCCAACTGGATAAAAAAAATAAGGAGAAAAACACAAACACATCAATATCTGGAATAAAAATAAATTGACAGAAAAGCCGCCGTTCTTGCTTTCTACAGAACCTCTACACAGAGGTGATTAAACAAAAAAAAACGAAATAATATTATTATCTTTTCTTATCATGTATTCATAAAATCCTCAAATGCTGATAGTGCATTGAAAACAAAACCTTGATTTATAGCATCTAAAAGACGATTGCCATAAACTATTGCACTCATCGCAAGCTCTCTGCTATCACGCTGCTTTAAATCTGCTACCGACATACCCGTTAGTTGTTCCGTAAGTTTCTCCAGTTCCTCAACATGTCCTTGCTACAAAATACTTTATTACTTCACTCATTTCCAGTTTTATCCTCCCGTTACTCAGAAAAGCAAATGCGGAACATCGTCTTAAATGATCAATAGGCATACTATGAAATATCAGCCAACCAAAAGACTTAGTCTTGCAGTAATTGTGGCCATAAATTCCAAGAAACTAAACTTTCTAAGCAAGCTAAAAAAAATCAGAACCCTCCCAAAAAAGATTTTACAGTACAAAAATCAAATAAAATTCACCCTTAAAAACTAGGCCACCACAAAATCCTTAACAAACTTTTGTTACATCAAGCACATCCACACATATAAATGACTAAACGTCGGTAGTTAGGAATCAGTTTTCAACAACAATTAGAGGAAACGAATGAAACACATATGACCGCTTACATTTACACCTGGCAAAAACTCAGACAGGATTTTACTCTTATCCAATAATGCTCGAGTAATAATCTCGTCGTTCCTCCGCAACCGTTCGGTCGGCGTCAATACCGGTTGTGCATGTTCCAAAACTGTTGGCTGTTGCACAGTGATCTCATTAGCGTTGACGAGCCTTGGATGGGTTAGGACATGTACTCGTTGTAGATGGCTTGGCTCCTCCGATGATCGACACATTTCATTACCCGAACGTGATAGATCGAAACGTCTAAAAAGCAAGAAAAAATTACTTCTACACAAAGATACCAAACTAAATTAAGAGTTGAAATTTCAATTATATGCCTCAGTTTTATCACATTTCCTATTCACAAGACAAATGTTACGCACTTCGACTTTTTCACCGGTAGTTCTATCAAACTCAACCTTCCCTGACTGCTTATGAAAGTGAGGTGGTCATGAGAAACAGCTTATTTCACAACAAAACGCTGTAAAGTTTTACTTCAAATAGGGGAATAACTGGGCGTACGCGCGGTTTTAGCTTCGGGGTTTCTGTGTTGGTGGCTTGACGAGCATACAACCAATTCCTTAGATAGTCTTTCGCCTACTCGGCTTTCATGCTGACTGTCAAACAATGCCAGGCGAAAACTTACAAGATTTTGGCAGCCTTTTGGCCTGTCCACTCCAAGAGTGATGTTGAAAGGAGTGTGAAAGGCATAAGGTCAGTTTATTTTGCACAATATAAGAAAATTTAGGAAAGTAAACATCACAGTATTCGTAGAGGGCTGCTGAGCCTTCTGAGATAAAAGCGCTCAACGCACCAGGCTGTCAAACAATAAGAATTTGTATCCGCAAAGCAAAAAGACATCCATTAAGCTGTAGACCAACAAAAAAGCAAGAAAAAGTTTTTCTGAAGAAAAATCTATAGTTGAAAAAGACTCAACTTATCAAAGCTGATGGGTTATCACGAGCATTTGTTCTCCACAACTTTTTGAACGTAATTGAGCAACAAAAGCCAAGGTCTATTACCAAAAAGCAGAAAAAAACAATAAAAAACTCTCAGAATTGGTGAAAATAACAAAGACAGCCTCCTTGACGTGTATATCCAATAATAAGACTAGACCGCAATTGACTACTGCTTTTACAAAGCCCCAAACGTCCTTACCAAACAAAACATTTATCACCGTCAGACACGACTTAAAAATTAAATTCAAAAAGTATTTTGAGCCAGAGAGTGCATGCTTATTTAATGGCAAAAACAAATGACTCACGAAACGCCAAACTCATCTACCTAAAAAACTGTTTGTTTCAAATAAAAAAGAATTTCAATAAAAACAAAAAACCGTATATAATCTTCAAATCAATAAATTGTCTTTGAAAAACCATAATGCAGTAGCCGGCAAAAACGAAGCTTTTTTTGGATTTCTCAGCAGAAGAAGCGTGAAAATCTTCAAAACCACAAAAAATAAATGAATGGCGATAAAAAATCCCATGATAACGAATTGACTTTGTACATAAAATGATCAAAAGCCTAAACAAGCCCTTGTCATTGCTAGGTATTTCGTCCAGTAGATAATATATTCCTTTTATCAGTTTAAAACCAATGCCATTTCAGCAAAAAACTTAATGACAGCTATTTAAAGCAGCAACAAAGAAAGAATGCGAGAAAAGTTGTATTTGAATTGTTCTTAAAAACCCTCTGGTGATAAATTAGACAGTCAGTCAACTATACAGCAAACACATTTAAAATTCCCCGACAACAATCATTCTCCAAAAACATAAAATAATATGTTTTAAAAATATTTTCGGCATCAACAGATGAATTGTCTACAAAAACAACTGCTTCTTCAGATTAATAAGATTATAAATTTTTTGGATCAAGAAAAAATTTTCAAATTAACCAATAAAGTTTCAAACACTAACAGTAGGCGTACATTTCAGGTCTTGTCTCGCTAACATAAACCAAAAAATAATCAGCAAAAATAAAGATATAGAAACAAATATTCCGGGAATTACTTACTCAACAGCTTGCGGGGTTGTAACATTATCGTCTTTTTTGACCGCTTCTATTTGATCCGATATCGCCTTAAACCATCTAAAAACAAATCCTTAATCTATCAGAAAAAGAAACTTCAGTAACAGCAGCAGCTAAGATAAATTTCTAGCAAAAAAACAAAAAATCTCACCAAATTTGCTTCCAACATCAACAAAAGAAATTTTAAAAGCAAAAAAAAAGTACGTTTTTCTTTCGGTCGCTGTGGCAGCAACGAGTTCATAGATTTGTGCTCCTCGCTGCACTGTGTTCACAATAAAAAACGCTCGTTTGTCGTTCGCTTTCTCCTTCGCAATTAACGGCGCCAAAGGAAGAATTGGTGTCCATCGAGTATCCTTTGAAGGTTCCTACAATTAAACTGTTAATCAACGTTACGTCAGAATTGATACTTAAAAATTGACAAGAGAAACTTTATTACGACAAAGAGAAACAGAAAAATTAGAAATAGTTTTTTTTTTTCACTGGCAACTAAACGACGTAGCTTACCCTCCGTCCAAACTGCTCAATAATATGTTGCAGAGGCGCGATGGCCGTAAAAACTTCTATTGCCAACAAAAAGTTTAGAAAAAGAAAAGATGAAAAACCTGTATTTTCAGAACCAATTTTTGACCGTCACCAACTTTCGTTAACAAAACCAGCACTTCCTCTAACAGTACCACGTGAAGCTCAACCATTTTCCCCTTGCTAAACCTCCATGTCAACGGGCCATCATGTACGAGTTTGTAACTTTAAATAAAATTTTTTAAAGCGGCACTGATAAAACATGAACTGTGTAACCCGCAAACACTGTTAGTTACTTGGTCAAATTCATTGAACTAAAGTCGTTTCCAAAATTTTCTTTGTCGTACGGCGCGGTATCCAATCGCCTCTGTAACTCCTCCAAACGTCGTAAATTTTCAGCATTTCGTTTCGCCGTATTAACAGCTGCAAAATTTCTCATTGGCTTCAGCTGAACATTAAAATTAACACTAATTTTAGTTACAACTGTAGAAAACCTGAGAGGATTCTTCTTGCTGCATTTACACTGTTCATTAACCGGGTTTGATCATCTGATGGCTCATTGGTATACTTGGCTGCATTTTCTAACAATAAAGGATATTTGACCAGTCTTTGCATTTCCACCGGTAACATATCTTTGAGTTGCAGTTTACGGCATAAGGGATTGCTTTCTGCTTCTGCCAAAAACTTTACAAACTGATCATCTTTTTCTTTTTTGCACCTTAAAACCAAACAATAAGTTCTGCAAAAAAATTCAAAAAACAGCAAAACAATTTCCAGGTCACTACATACACTATCTTATGCCTTGAGTATATTCTGTTGCACTAACAGCTCTGCAATTTTTTGTTGATATAGTATAGTAGTTTTACAACTGACATTAAACCCGGTAACATTATGCATTTTTGACTATAATGAGCGATAAAAATGATGTTCCGTAAGCAGAAAGGCAAAGTTCCGAGCAGTAAAGAGTGCCAACCAAAATCCTTATGCAAAATTTAAAAATCTTTTTCCAAATATTTAAAATATCAATTTTTGCAAAAAAGACAGTTAAACAATGTTTATTCGACAGTTATCAAACAGTTCACTAAAATTGACATAAATAAATTCTCTAGAAAAAAAAATAATAATGTTTTTTGTCGGTTAAACTTTAATGCGCAAAAATTTTAGAAGATTTTGCCAAAACAGAATTTTGACAATCAGCTATTTCCGCATAAACTTTTATAAAAAAGATTTTAAGGAAAAAACTGTTTTTGAATAAGAATTCAGCCCAGAAGCGTGGTAAAAAATAAAGCAATAAATCTTCCCTGATTTTTTATCAAATTTTTTTAACTAGGCGGAACCTTTTAGCTAATATTTTGAATACGTATCTGCTATTGTTTCGCCCTTGCAGTTAAAACACTCTTCGCCTCTTTCAAAAGTTGTCAGGAAAAAAACAAATAAATAAATAAAGCTTCGAATTCTCCAAAAAATATTAACAAATATTAATCAAGAAATATATAAGTCGCAAAACAAGTATTTAAGAAGCGGCAAAAAGTTCTAAAGAATAAAACCGCACACCAACCTCTGCCTGAGTATCTCAAGTGCGTGTTGCTGGTGTTGGCAAAAGGTGGCTGTAGCATTCATCAACCGTACACCCGTCTCACCATCAAACATAGATTCCATTAGTGCACCAACTTCACCGAACAGACCATTCAAACGAGTATCCCGTTTCCACTCCTCGACTGCCGTCCTCATTTTTCTGCAATGACAACAAAATATTATAACGCTAATAATCTTAAACTCAACTAAAGTATTCATTTCCTTGTCCTAAAACTTACTTGCACATTTCGACATGAATTTCAACCAATTCGTCTATATTTGCGAAAAACAGTTTCAC